AGTGTGACCTCAGTCTCATCACAGTCCGGTACGAGGAGGAAAAAAACTACCGGCACTTTTAAGATCACCAGGAAAGTGAAGAGTGAAGAGTGTTTAGAGCCCAGCGGAGAGAGGAGCCGCCAGGACAGACCATATGGTACGAGAGAGAGACAGAGAGAGAGAGAGATGGAGGGAGGGAGAACGAGGGAGGAGATAGAGAGACTGGAGTGGGGAAAGGAGAGAGAGAGAGAGAGAGGAAGGAGAAAGAGAGAGGGAGACTGGAGTGGGGAAACCGGAGAGGGGGGGAGAGAGAGAGGAGAAAGAGAGAGAGACTGAAGTGGGGAAATGAGAGAGAGAGAGAGGAGAAAGAGGGAGAGAGAGACCGGCGTGAGGAGAGAGAGAGAGACTGGAGTGGGGAAAGGAGAGAGAGAGAAAGAGAGCGAGGGAGGAGAAAGAGAGAGAGACTGGAGCGGTGAGAGGAGAGAGAGGGAAGGGCGATGGCGAGACAGGGGCAGAAAGAAAGTTGAAGGGTGAGAGAGGAGGGAGCGAGAGAGAAGAGGGGAGAGGTAGAGACAGGAAAAACATGGGGAGAGAGAGAGTGGGTGGGGGAGAGAGGGAAGGGAGTGGATGAGAAAGAGGATGGGTGAGAGAGGGAGAGAGAGAGAGGAGGGGGCAGTGATGAAGAGGAGAGCAAGGAGAGCAGAAGGAGGTTATCGGGTGAGAAGAGAGAGAGAGAGAACAAGAGGGAAAGGTGGGTGATGATAGAAAGAAAGAGGGGGGGGAGAGAGGAGCGAAAGAGGAGTTAAAACAAGAAGATAGGAAAGGAGAGAGGAGACGAGGAAACAAAGAAAAGGAAAGTAGAGAGAAATAGAGGGAGAGGACAGATGGGGACATATGGCTCAGACAGAGTCACACAGCAGGACTGTAGAAGTGTATTTTTACTCACTGCATTCTGCGATTTTTACTATTTTCAGAGGCCAGAGCGGATTAAAACTAACAACAACTAGCATGTTAACTTTCACGTCCTGATTAAATTATGGAATTAAATGGTGTTAGGAAAAATAATGTTAAGTTATTCCTGAATAAGCTGTGGAAATTATATATTTCAACAAAATTTAAAACTAAAATTTATTGATGTTAATTTGGGATGCCGATCCGATTTTGCTGGATTGGGTATTGGTATTGATGTTCAGTCGATATCCTGGTTGGATCTTTCATTTGATGTAATAAGACGTTGGTTTAGAACGTGTCAGAATATTTGAACTTTTATTCATACAAAGCAGTTCAGTCGGGATTTTCAAAATAAATAACGATCGCATAACACAACTGGATCCATTTTGTAATCAATTACCAGTTTTTTTTTGTTGTTTTTTTGAGGGAAAAGGCAATGTCTGTACCCTGGTTAATATTGGGTATCAGTAGATTAAAGTCAAAGTATCAGTATTGGATTAGTGCACCCCTAATGTTATGGTCCTGTCACACTTTAACCAGATTTTCCCTAAAAAGCTGGCTTATGCTGAATTATCAATGTTTTTTTGGGGTTTTTTTCTCAGTTTTGAGCGTATATATAGCGTATTCATAACAAGTTGGACGTACAGTATACATAACTTATTGGTAACTTGTATAGAAAGTTTTGATAACTTTTAACTTAGAACGATTAATGCTTATCGTGTTGTAGCGTCCAAACATTTGTCTAACGACAGTCTAACTTATGCATAACGCCGACGAACACGTGTTGTCGCCTATAAAAAGGCTGCCACTCAACGATTCATACCTGCACTAGACATCGCAGTAGCAACATTAAGTTCCACCATCAGTCTGATACATCACATGTACACAAATTTGCCAGTAACGTCTCCTGAATCTCACGGTACATATTGTGTTCTAACACTCACATGCTCCTTCTCTGTTAATATGCTACTTTTTCTTCTTAAAATGCCTTGACAAGACTTAATCTAAACAACTAAGACTTAAAAGTGCTTAGAACTGTTATTTCTTCATATAGTCTGTACTGAAATGGAGCAAAGGATCATGGTCTATGTAGTTCCCTCTGTCTTTTTTTTAGCTATTGCTGCACCATAACTCTTAATTTAAACAAAGAGACTTGTAATTCAATATATTGTGATGGTCCACGATATTATTGTGAGAACTTTGACGATACGATATCACGATTTTTCAGTTATTGTTACATCCCTAGTATTTGGACTTATGGGTAATTTACAGTTAACGTGTGTCAACGATCGCAGAACTTGTTTACAACTTATAGCCCACGTATGCAGGATGTAGAAGCACACACTGTACGTCAAGAAATTTTCAGCATGCTCAGCATTTTTCGATGACCTTGCCATACGTCTACATATGTCAGCGTGTTTCAGCGTGCTCATAACTTATACAAAACTTACCTATAAATTATCTGATGTATGCCTGTGTTTTTGCCAAATTTTTCATACGTCAGCCTAGGCTGGATAAATCGTTAAAAGCTGTGACAGCTCCTTTAATTATGTTTTAATGAAAAGTCTAGGTAATCTGTAGTATAGGAAAAGTCTCCATTTCCCAGCAGAATCATGTCCTTTTGTCTGTCCCTGGGCTATTTGCGATGTTTTATTGTGAAGGTTGATCTTTTTTTAGTTTTATTGTGAAGGTGCCTGTGTCCCTCTGCTCAGTGCGACGCTGTAAATCAGACTAGACTTTTACGGCCTCCATTTTAGATCCAGGAGCGCAGAGACAAAGAGAGGCTGCAGAGAGACTGTAGAGAGGCTCAGGCTGGAGGATTGTGTGCATTGTCTGCGCTTTAGATTGTTCCCGACATCTGCTCTGTTGGGCTCATGGCGAGTATTTAAATGCATAGATTTTATGTGTCTTCACTGTACCGCATTTTCAAACAGTGAAGCGAAGCCAACGCTCTCCTCTCCGAACCAACCCGGCAATCCTTTTGCAATCCGGAGGTGTTGCAAAATTCAATCACAATACTAAAATTGCAAACTCAAAATAAGAAATAAGCTCACTGCTGATTTCAGTACCACAAACCCTAAAAAGAGAGAGGCATTTTAGGTTTAAACCAACTGGATTTCAGCACTGAACCTGGCAACCCAAATGAGAGAGTCATGTGAGGCTCATTCTGCTTTCTGATTAGATAATTGTCTTGAGAACCGAAACACTACAAATAACTTGGCCATCATGTCCAGTGTTTTTGTAATTAAGGATAAATCAGCTTTAGAGTTGTTACCAGTAGAAGCGATATATTGATGTATTTGAACATGTTTGCCTCGTATCTGTGGACACAGATATACTGTAGGTCAAGTTTATGGAATTTTAAAATAAAAATCTTACATACACTTCTTTTAAAGATCCAATATTACTCAAAATTTACTTTACCTCCTCAAAAACAGACCTAGAGTTGTATTTTGTTTCATTCATACATGTTTGAGTAATCCTTTATTATTAGTCTGTCTACATCTCCAAAGCTCAAAATGCTCTGTTCCACCTTGTGATGTCATGTAGTTATAGTTTTCAAGTTAACAGCTCCTTTTACTCAGTGTTGTAGCTGTTCATATTTTGAGCGAACATGAACAGAACGCACTGTACTCCTGCCTTATGAATGAACTGTGAGCGTGTTCATTCTGGTGTCCGTGAACGGCATGTGCTTCTATTTAACTTCTTTCAGTAAGGTGCCAGATTCCTTCAGTGTTCCAGGTGAAAACCCGGCTAATCATATCATAAAGAGCCCTTAATATTTAACAGAAAAACATTCAATCTGGCAACAACACTGGCCACCAGTGTGGCATCGCTGCATGCGTCATAAAAACAAGACAAAACAAAAAAGCAGAGGCAACTGTAGCAGCAGCAAAAAGGATTCATCATATGAACATTATGATTCATCATATGAACTATGAATGAACTTGTTCATTTGGAAATTTGTGAACTGAACTTTGAACTAGTTCATGTAGAAAGTGGGCTTTCCCAACACAAGTTTTACCATCCATCCGTTTTCTTCCGCTTACCTGTGGCCAGGTTGTGGGGTCAGTAGTCTAAGCAGGGACTCCCAGACTTCCTTAACCCTGGACACTTCTTCCAGCTCCTCCTGGGGGACCCCAAGGTGTTCCCTGGCCAGCTGAGAGACAGAGTCCCTCCAGCGTGTCCTGGGTCTTCCTCAGGGTCTCCTACCAGAGGGACAAACACAAAAACCTCCTGAGGGAGAACAGATGCCCTCAAATGCTCCTCTCAACACCAAGGAGCAGCGACTCTACTCCGAGCTCCTCCCGTGTGACTGAACTCCTCACCCTATCCCTAAGGGAGCGTCCAGCCACCCTGTGGAGGAAACTCATTTGCTTGTATCTGTGATCTTGTCCTCTCAGTCATTACCCAAAGCTCATGATCATAGATGAGGGGAGGAACACAGATTGACCGGTAAATCGAGAGCTTTGCCTTTCGACTCAGGCCCCTCTTCACCACAACTGATCGATACAGTGCTGACGCTGCACCGATCCGCCTGTCAATCTCACGCTCCATCCTCCCCTCACTCATGAACCTTTTTACCTTTACCTTTTTAGCATGGATGAAATTGTCCAAATGATTCTAGTGAAGGTGTATGGAGTTTAAAAACACAATGGAACACTTCCTATGTTACTGCATGACATCTCAAAGTGGAACAGAGTGTTTTTCTGTTTTAGAGAAAAACTCAGCCTAAATCTACAGGTTTGTGTGTTAAACTTGTGTGAAAGAAACAAAACACAACTGCAGGTTTGTTTGCGATGAAGACACATCATTAGAACACAGATCAGAACATCGTGTAATCTGGACCCTTTAACTCTACAACATTTTTGTTTCACTTTCTGACAGCCCCCCACCCCCACCACCACCCCCCACCTCCACCTGGGAGCATCAAGGTCATACCGTTTACTTTCTATAGTCCCTCCCTCCCCCTCTCCTTCTTCCTTCTCTCTTCCTCTCTCTCTAGTTCTCCCTCTCCCTCCCTCTCTCCGTGATGGATGCTGCGCTGCCGTTTCCGTGGCGATGCGACCATGAGTTACCGCGGTGATTACGGCCGCAGACGGATGCTCGGGGCCCACTTTATCACGGCGAGGGGAGAGGCAGAAAAAGGCAGCGGAGGTAAAGAAAAGGCGAAAGAGAAATCAGAAAAACGGAATTGGAGTCGAGAGCGCGGGGAGGCGGCTGCTGTGGCACATCACAACACAATCGTTAGAGCAGAGAGAGGGAGGAGGAGAGAGGGAGGAGGGAGAGAGGGAAAGAGAGGGAGGGAGAGGGAGGGAGGAGGAAAAGGAGAGAGAGGGAGAGAGGAGGAGGAGGAGATGTAGAGGAGAGAGAGGGTGGGAGGGGAGAGAGAGGGAGAGGAGAGAGCAAGAAAGAGGGAGGAGGGAGAGAGGTGGAAAGAGAGGAGGAGGGGAGAGGAGGGAGGAAGGGAGAGAGAGTGGAGAAGAGGACGAGAGGGAGAGGGGGGGATGGTTGGTGTGGCACAACACAATTGTTAGAGGAGAGAGGGAGAGGGAGAGAGAAGAGGGGAGGTAGAGGAGAAAGGGAAAGGAGGGGGAGAGCGTGAGGAGGGAGAGAGAGGGAGAAAGGAGGGACAGTAGAGGAGAGATGGAGAGAGAGAGAGAAGAGGAGAGGTAGAGGAGACAGAGGGAGGAGGGAGAGAGAGATGGAGAAGAGAAAGGGAGGAGGAAGAGAGGAGGGAGAGAAAGAGGGAGGGAGGGAGGGAGGGAGGGAGGAGAGAGAGGGAGAGAGAACTGGAGGTAGAGGAAAGAGAAAGAGAGAGAGAAGAGAGAAATAGGAAAGGAGAGGAAGAGAGTGACAGAGTGAGGGAGAGAGAGGGAAAGAGGAAAGGAGGGGAGGTAGAGGAGAGGTAGAGAGAGAGAGGAGAGAGAGAGGAGACAGAGGGAGGAGAAGAGAGGCGGGAGAGAAAGAGAAAGAGGGGAGAGGGAAAGAGGAGGAGAGAGAGAGGTAGAGGAGAGAAAGAAAGGAGGGAAGGTAGAGGAGAGAGAGGAGAGAGAAAGAGAAGAAAGAGGGGAGAGGGAAGGCTAGAGATACTAGAGAGAGAGGTGAGGGAGGAGAGGGGATGAGAGAGGGAGATGAAATGAGGAGAGAGAGCAGAGAGAGGAGGGGCTGCTGTGCACATCGCAACACAATCGTTACAGAAGGAGAGAGAGAGAGAGGGATGGAGAGAGTGAGTGTGCAGACTGGTCGTTATGAGACAGTTCTCCCTGTGATTTCATGATGTTTTCACAGGAAACAGCCTTAAGTCCATGTTTGTTTTTTCAACGAGTGACTGGACCAGTGTTTCTCAACTGTGGTGCACGTCCCTCTGGTAATTCATAGCGCCCTCTGCAGTTTAAATTAAAGTATTTGTTTGAATTTGACAAATGAATGCTAAGGATTATGAAGGACGTCAGCTTGGTCTCCACGTCCTAATTTACGCCTTGAGTCAGAACCAAACATGAGCATCCGATCAGATTTGTCTATTTCAGTGACTCATGTGAAAGAAGGAGCTCATTGGTTGCCTATTATTTTGTAAAAAAAAAAAAAAACAAAAAAAAAACAATAATAACATGTCTCAGCTCAGAGTTCAGTGCTTCTCTCATTGATTCTGCAGAAACCTGTGATGTTCCCAGGAATATTTTTTCTTTTTTCCCCATAAGCAGCCATATCTGTTTTGATGGACGGACTATGCACATCCCTGATTGGCTAATCCGCCTGTCAATCACACCCATCTGAAAACAGGGAGATTCACCTTCACGTCTTTGTACAGTGGAGCCCAGGCAAACAATGTGGGGTTTGGATTTTTAAAGAACTTGATATTGTTGTATCTCTGCCATGTTTGAAAGCTCAGAATGAATCATCTGAATGTTTTTTTCTCTCTCTTCTAACCAACCACCCCAGACTGAGCCCTGATCAGTGGAGTCTGACACATCAGTTTGTGTTATTGTCATTCATCACTTACTGTATATGTTGTCAGTGTAGGCTCTATTCACACTTACTAGAAGGAAAATGTTGGAAACATGTGAATGAAGAATTCCGATGTAGTTACCGACACTGCTGCCCTATACAGACAGAATGCCATAACATCATGTTTCAAAAATGAGTTCATGTCATTTTGGGGGTATTTGAGACCTTCTTTATCATTCGAATAAATATTAGGGGTGTAACAGCACACACAAAAATCATAGTTCGGTACAGACCTCGGTTTTGAGGTCACGGTTCAGTTCAGTTTTTGGTACAGTATGGGAACAAAATGCAAAACCATATGCTTGTTGTGTATTTTTGTGTTTATTAAACCAACCAATTTGTTTTAACACAATACAAACGAGAAAATAAAATAAATGCAACATTCTTTTCAAACTTTTCAAAAAGTAAACCGCAGCACTAACAGTTCCAGCAAGAACTTTTACTCAATCTTCATATTTTTGCCCAGAAAAAACAACTTGTCCACAGTGTCTGCAGTAAGTGCAGATCTGCTACACTTACATTGTCCCCAGAGATTGAAAATACACTTTCACTAGGGATAGACATGGCGGGTATGGGAGGGGGCAGAGATTCTGTGCCGGCTTAAGGTTTTGCGAGGATTCACGTGGTTTGGAGGGACAGAGTCAAAGCAGGGGGCAATTGTTGTCAAGGTGGCCACCCTAACTATAAAGCGCTGTGGGAAACACTGCCACCCCAATCATGGACGAGTTCCCTCATGAATATTAAAGAGCCGAGTCTTCCGTGTAGCTGCAGATGTAGTGGCAGAAACACACACAAATTGTGCAAAATCACTGGTGCACAACCCTGCACCAAACTGAACAGCTGTACCAAAACAGTTCGGCACAAATACATGTACCGTTACACCCCTAATAAATATTGTGAAAAATATTGAGCTCACAACTGACCCTTGATCCTTGTTTGTCAGTTCCTGTTCTCTGCCTTTGTATGATGAGCCAAAAATAAGGAGTTGTGCAAAGACAAAAGGCAGAAACAGTGTATGTTTTGTTTGTGATTTAGTTCATAAATATATTTTATTTTCAAATCCAGTCCTTGGCACATAATCTTAACACATTACATAAATATACCATTGTATTCAGTTGTATTCAGTATTATAGTTCAATTATCTTTAATGTGAAAGTATTGTGTGTATTTATTCATACTGTACACACTATACTGCAAGGTCACTTGTTCTCTTTAACTGTGTTTAAAGTGTCACCGCACGATCCTGATCAGCACTAAACAGGAAATCCAAAGCTCTTCTATATCAACTCCACGATGACTCGACCTTGGTGAAGTGTTCTTCTAATGGATGCAAGTCTGGGGAAAATCAAGCAAATAATGATCATGTCAGTTTCTGCCTTTTGTCTTTGCACGACTTCTTATTTTTGACTCATGATACAAAGGCAGATACAGGAACTGACAAATAAGGGTCAAAGTCAATTTTGAGCTCAATGTTTTTCACATACAAATATTTATTCATTATAGTAACTAGTTGTCAAATTTTGGAAGTTCTACCTATTATACTGTTGTCAGGACAAAACAGAAACTTTGAAGTAGTTTTTCTCAGATTTACACTGTGACGAGTTAAGGTCTTTTGCCTTTGTACGGCAGAAAACCATGGATTCAGCAGCAGCTTTTTATGAAGTCAGACAAAGTATAATACACAAATGAATATACAGTTTGTAAAAGGAAAAAAGAAGAAATACAATGACATCTAGATGAAGAAAACAGGGCCATTTTCTCAGCTTTCCCCAATTTTCTCAGGGTTCCTATCACCAACAGAGCCCAGTGGAAGTCGTCATCCGCATGTTTCCAAACGTCTTCCGGTTTTGTGGCGTAAGCGTGAATAGAACCTGTTTTCAGACCCTATAGTCGTACCCTCCCGTGTGATTCATGTGTAACGCTCTCTAATGTTATTTATAGTCTGGTGTTGACCTTGCGCGCGCTGCAGGACCAGATAGTGCGAATCAAACCTGAATAATTTAAACCACAGCTCCGACCTTCAGATGCCCTCCCGTCCAATCAGAGACGCGAGGAGACACATGTACCAGATGCCCTCCCGTCCAATCAGAGCGCGGAGCTGTGAGGAGATAACAGTACCGTCAGCTCCATCAGTCACTGGTGTCTGTTGCGTGAAGCAAAAACTAAACAAGGACAGAAAGAGAATGGGTCAGATCTGGTTTTTCTATGTCAGTTACAAAAATACATTTAGTAGTAGCAGTTTTTTATTCAGTCATTTTGCAGCACCACAAAACAAAACATAGACTACAACCCCATGGATCATGACCGAAAGGGTTTAAGCTGAAGTAAAAAGTACTAATAACGCCTAACTTTATTAAACAATGACAGAATTACAATCAAGAAAGCAGTGTATGAACAGCAAGATTACATTTACATTTTCACTTACAACTTACTGTATATATAAGAGACAAAATATAAATTAAAACAAACAAAATGTAATGCATAATTCATTCATTCCAGAGTTCTATATCTTTCAAAACATAATGCTTTACATGTGTACAATCCCTCAGTCGTCCAGGTAGAATCCACGGCAAAAGGAGAAATTCAATTTGTCAACTGGACAAAAGTTTATTTGGTCGAGTACATTGTGCAGCTCATCCAAGCTGCTTCTTCAGTTCAGGTCAGACGCTGGTGGACACTTCCTTATAGCTGTCTGAAGGGAGGAGCTAACTACAATGAAACTACTCTGAAACTAACACACCTACTTCAAAGAAAAATAGTGTCTGAGACATCCATTTGAACAGAAATGGAGACACCATCTGTCTCCTATTTACAACTCCATCTTCAAACCTAAATCAAAACAATAGAGATAACAAAGTCAGGTCCAGAGGTGTGAAAGCTCCATTATGGGCCTGAATGATTATATATATATATATATTCAGACCCCAAACTCAGTGCAAGTTCAATATGCCTAGCTAAATAACAGAAACTGTAAACAAGCAGTAGTAATGTGTTCGTTTCAGAGGAGATTCAATGTAGTTAGCTCGTCCCATCAGGCAGATAAAAGGAAGTGTCCACCAGCAGTCTGATGCTGCAGTGTTTCTGCAGTGTTTCTTCCAGTGTGGTCCATGTTTAGTATCCCCATGTCATGTATGATGTGTTTGTAAATG